ATTTTCTTCGACCTTACATTTGATTAGACATTTCTCTGTCATTTCAGACATCCTTTAATGCTCTAATCGACCCAAAATAGGGAAAAAATCTTATAATATATTTTTTGGGTGATCCAAAACCACTAGGCAAAAATTTATTTCATCTCAATCTTTGAAAGCATCAGGTTCTCTGTGTATCTGAGAGGTTTAATCATATTTCATATATTTTCTTTTGCTCAATGCAGCTCATGGATTATGCCGATGATACTCGTTTTTTGATGACTATTAACTGTTGAATCTTTATTAACTTCTGAATATGGTAAAATAATGTATTGATTTAAACCTTGTTGATTTTGGTACAGAAAAGGGGGGCTTTTGGTTCCCAAAAGGGGGATAGTTGAGAAAATGCTGAGGAAGAGAAGCAGGTCAATTCAGAAGGATCAACACCAAATGGGTCATTTGCCAATTGCTGATGCTGGGTCTGAGGTTTTGGGACACAATCCCAAAAGCAACTCTCTTTTCAGCGTTCCTGGTCTGTTTGTGGGGTTGAGTTCTAAGGGTTTAATAGATTCTGATTCAGTTAGGAGCCCAACTTCTCCTCTAGATTTTAGGGTGTTTTCAAATTTGGGCAACCCCTTTAGGTCCCCAAGGTCCAACAGTGATGGGCAGCAGAGGAGCTGGGGTAGCAGTAAAGTAGGCTTAAGCATCATAGATTCTCTTGATGATGATGTGAAGTTTTCTGGGAAAGTCCCTCGTTCATCAGAGAGTAAGAACATTCTTTTTGGACCTGGAATGAGGATTAAAACCCCAGATTCTCAGTCCAATACCAATTCTTTTGCTTCACCTAAATCTCTACCTAAGAACTATGCAGTTTTCCCTTATTCCAAAATCAAATCTCCTCTAGAGAAGGGTAGTTCTGATGTTCTTTTTGAAATTGGAGAATCCCCAACAGAGCCTGAGTCATTTGGAAAAATCCGGTCCTGTTCATTGGATTCTGGTAGGGCATTTTCAACCCTATCAGGTTTAAGCAACCTTAACCCTAACTCCACTTCTGGAAATTTTTGTATGGAAAGTTTAACCACCCAACCATTTATTGGAGAGAGCCCAAATTTAGCCACCCAAATGAATACTGGATCTATTGGGTCTAGCAATGGGTTAGTTGGGTCTCTCTCAGCTAGTGAGATTGAGCTTTCTGAGGATTATACTTGTGTAATTTCTCATGGTGCCAATCCCAAAAAAACTCATATCTTTGGTGACTGCATTTTGGGATGTCACTCTAATGATTTGAGCAATTTTGGTAAGAATGAGGGAAAGGAAATTGGATTTGCCCGCCCAGACATGAGCTTGGGGAATTTTGTCCAGTACCCCTCAAACAATTTCTTGAGCTTTTGCTACTATTGTAACAAGAAATTGGAAGAGGGGAAAGACATCTACATATACAGGTACAGTTTATGAAACAGACATATCTACTAGCTTTGTTATGATCTGCAAAGCATTTTGTAGAGGAATTGGAAATACTTATTAACATTTAATTTCTTTCAGGGGTGAGAAAGCATTTTGCAGTTTGAGTTGCCGCTCTGAGGAGATTTTAATTGATGAGGAATTGGAAAAATGCAATGACCAGTCTTCTGAGAAACCTCTTGAGTCAGATGAGGAACTTTTCGAAACTGGCATCATTGCTGATAAGTAAGAGACACTTCTCTTCTGCAGCCACCGTGCCCATGATTGATGAGCCCGTCGCAGACGCAGCTGATCATCTGTTTACAAAGAGCTGTTTGTGTGCATCGCTTGGCAGCCATGGATGATCGTTTTGTAAATTCACTCGTTTGTTTACTGTGTTTCAGCTTTCATGGTCTTGGTGGATGTTGGTTTCAGCTCAACTAGTTTTGCTTTCCATAAAATCAGACATTGATGTATGCCATCAAAGTACTATTTCCTCGTAATTCATGTAGAAGGGTGATAAGCCGACTTTTTTGGCTCCCTAATTCAAGTCTCTGTTGTGACCAGAGTTGCTGTAATCTTGAACCAGTTTTTGACTGAATATAAAGTACTATTACATATACAACTTCTTGTCATCTTTTACATTTTGATTAATTTTGTAAATTTTTTGAGTTTGGATGAAGATGAAAAACTATTGAGCATAGGTTGCAAATTATTATCTGAATTCACCAATAATCTTTACAAGAGCAATTTCCATCTACAAACCGATGGAATCTGTAATTATCCCTGATAACAATTTCTCTGTTGTAGGCCTGAGATATTAGTTTCATGGCTGTATGGCAATCCCTACAAATCTGCAGATTATTAACTACACGGATAGGAGTTCTTGGGGGGTTGTTTAAAAGACCAAAAGCAACAGCCAATCTTTCACTATGATGAGATGATGTTTCTACTAGGTCCTGTTTTTGCAATCTACCCTTGATCTCATCCAACATAGCATAAATTTCAGCAGATTGAGGGTTTGAGAAATCCCAAGCTGTAAATTCATGCACAGCTCCATTTTGTTCTATTAGACTACATCCTGGTTGCTTCCTCACTCCTAGTTCATGCAACTTCTTTCTTGCCCAGCTCACATCATCCCACCTACCAGCTTTTGCATATATATTTGAAATAAGAGCATAAGCAGCATCATTTAGGGGGTCTATCTTTATGAGCTGTTGAAATACTTTTTCTGCTAATTCTAGATTCTGATGGCTTCCACATGCTCTCAACAAGGAACTCCATATAGAGATATCTGGTTTGATAGGCATGCTTTCAACAAACTTCACTGCCTGGTCTAAGCGTCCGGCTCGACCTAGGAGATCAACCATACACCCATAGTGCTGGATCTTAGGAACAATACTGTAGACACTACTCATCTTGTTGAAATATGTGTACCCTTCATTGACTAAGCCTCCATGGCTACAAGCAGATAGGAGAGCTACGAAAGTGACATGATCTGGCTTTGTTGCTAGAGCTTCCATTTCTGAGAAGAGATCAATAGCTTTCTGGGCTTGCCCTTCCATGGCATGTGCTGCTATCATAGCAGTCCACACAAACTCATTTTTTTCAGTCATATCTGAGAATATCTCATAGGTTTCTTCAATGCTTCCACACTTTCCGTACATGTCAATCAAAGCAGTTCCCAACATAATATCCAACTCAATATGATTCTTTTTTATGTAAACATGCACCCAAATGCCAGGATTCAGGGCTGCAACACTAGCACAGGAAGACAGAACACTGGCTAATGTGATCTTGTCCGGCTGAACATTTGAACTCTGCATTGCACGAAATAACTCAAACACTTCTCCGAATCGATGAGATATGGAATAGCAGTTGATCATGGTGTTCCAAGAAATCACATCCTTCTCAGGAATCTTATTGAAGAAGAGTCTAGCCTTCTTAATATCTCCACTTCTGCAGAACCCATCCAACATCGAATTCCAAGACACAACACTCTTGCAAGGCAACTGCTCAAAAACTAAGCAAGCCTCAGCCAGTTTTTCACATTTGGCATACAAGTCTATCAGAGCATTCCCAAGAAACCCTTCAACATTCATTCCATATTTGAAAATCAGACTGTGAATGGATTTGCCTAACTTGAAATCTCCCACATGAGCACATGCTGAAAGTACCGTGACCAAAAGAACCTCATCAAGGCTCAAATATGTTTTTCTCATTTGCCTGAATAACTCCAGACTTTCATAATAGTAACCTACTTGAACATAACCTGAAATCATCGTCATCCATGAAATCAAGTTCCTCTCTGTCATCTGGTCAAACAGGCACCTAGCAGAATGTATCTCATTAGATTTTACATACCCACCAACCATAATAGTCCCCAAAACAACATCAATATCAGGCTTGCATCTACCCACAAGCTCAAATGCCTTATTCATTTTCCCACACTTGACATACATATCCACCACACAATTCAACAGATTCCCACCAATCTCCAATTCATTTTCCTCAATATACTGGTGCAACTTCTCCCCCATTTCCAAATCCCTGAGCTTCGTACAAGCTGAAACTAAGCTCAGCATCGTAATTTCATCTGGTTCAACTTCTTCATCAGCCTGCATTTCCTGAAATAGATTCAAAGCCTCGTAAAGCATTCCCTTATGGACATTGCATGATATCATGGTGTTCCAACTAATCACATCTCTCTGAGGTAATATCTCAAACAATTTGCGCACTTCATCCAATTTCCCACATTTCGAATACAAACCCATCAAATTGTTAATCAAAGACATATTATCCCCCAACCCAATTTTCAAAATCCGGCCTTGGATCTCAGTCCCCTGTTGAAAGGCCAAAAGTCTAGAACAAGCAAGAATCAAGAAGTGGAAAGTAGATGCATCCAGAGGCACACCTTGAGTGACCATGTTATAGTAAGTTGAAAGCACATCTCCAAAAGAACCATTTTTGAGTCTGTTTTCCATAAGGGTGTTCCAAATAATGGTCTCTGGCTGATGGGTTTGACTGAAAACTAGACGAGCATAATCTAAGTCTTTGATGGTTATGAAGAACCAGAGAACCTGGCTGGCGGTGAAGGGGTCGTGGATGAGGTTTGTGGTGACCAAACGGGCATGGATCGGTGCAAATTCTCTGAGGTTTGAACAGGATTTCAACAAGGAGATGACGCAGTTTGTTCTTGGAATTTGATTATAGACTTGATTTTTGGTTGGTTTTTGTGTGGAGAGAGACAGGCTTGAGAGAATGGCAGGAAGGGCTGCGGCCATTTTGGAATATTTGGCCCTTGGTTCCCTCCAAATTTCATTTTGTAGCAACTGGTAACTTTACGGATAAGAATTTATTTTCCATAATTCGTTTCAGGGTCTTCATTTGGATGATATTTATTAATTAGGACTTCGAATTATTTTGTTCGAGTTAGCAACTGAGCTAGATAGCAATAGCAGCGAGACGAGCGCCAGCAGAAATGCATTGTCCTAATCTTACAGTAGAAAATGTTCATCAGAATCTCACTGAAAATGCTGTACTGTCAGTCACCTCTTTTCTTGTCCTCTCATTTTCTCTAATTCAAATAACAATCATCTTCTTCATAGTGAGGAACACCTGCAGGCCAACGCCCTCATCAATTTCCAAATCCTATAACCACTACACGAATAAGATGAGTTTATAGGAAAACCATGGTCAATGATCCAGCTGTGCGAGTTGAATGCATAAAACTGCGCCTAAAAAGGGGTACGATTGTCTTTTTCCACATCAACTCGTGCCGCTTCCGAATCAAACTCCCTCCACTTTGTCTCAAACATGTCAACGTTCTTAATACCCACTCCTACATCCACACAGAAACAGGTGAACCGAAGCTCAGGTGCGGTGCCTTAGCAGGAGTGGATACCATTTGAATGCCTTTGCCGGAGTGGTGGATACTGTTCGAAAAACCAAACGCAATCGAGAATCAAAGGAGAAAGGAATACAGAGGAAAACAAGAGATCATCCATCCAGATGATAAATCGAGAAATCATCATGGCTACTCTTGGCTTAATTACAAGGGGAAACCATACATACGAAAGTAAATAAATAAATAGACGAGGAAAAGAAACACAGAAACAAAAAGCGAATCGCAACGGTGCATTCAGCCACTGGTTTCCAACAGAAGACAATCGCAGGACCACAATTCCCTTTGTCCTCCACTGATATAGCCAGGTGGTCAAAAGAGTGTACGGAGCCCCATTGTTGCGAGTCTTGTGACACACGTAGCTGCACAATAATAGCCAAAGCCAAGATCAATTCTGATGCAACCATAGCCACTAGCTCAGCCTCTCGTTTGGCGAGTGTTGTAGGATTTACAGTTCAGGCATTTCTGGGCCACAACATGGTACTGCACTTGTGAGCTTTTCCCACAGTCGTTGCAGAGGATCCAAACCTGTTGAAGCGAATCACGAAATAAGAAGAATGACTTCTAACCACACATTGTACACTTGGAAAGTGTGTAGAGAGAGAGGAGAGAGAGAGAGAGTACCAATTTGTTTTTATATGGTTCAGGCATTGGTGTAGCTGCAATCTCCATGTCATATTTCTCCCATACCTTGGACATATCACAAACTGATTTGGAGCAAAGAGGGCACGCATATCTGTCATAAAGTACGATCAACCAGTGAATTAGATAATTCTACTCAACTAGCCAAATAAAAGGAATCAAAATCACATAGCTGCCAGGCACTTACTGATAATGCTCCCTCATCTCTTTTAAGCAATCCTTGTGAATAGTGTGTCCACACAGCATCACCGTAACATCATTTGTTGATTCAAATAAGAACTGCAGATCACCAGGTACGTTATGCTCCAGTAAGACAGGCATCAATAACCCGAAAACAACAAACTAATATTTGTTGTAAGAATTTGTAAACTGCTAGTCTTACCTCAAAGCAAACAGGGCAGTCGTGATGCATTGCTCCTTCCACACAAGGGTGGCTGTTTTTCAACATAATTGAGTAGCAGCAGCCTAACAAGAAGATAATAACATCAGTCATGGTACAATATAATAAACGGGATGCTTAGTTGCTTTGGAGAAAAACAAGCACACATTGCTTACCACACTTGTAGCAGTGGAAGAAATTCTCACGCCCTCCGATTCTGTCACAAAAAGCACACTATCGAGTCAAACACTAAAGAATTAAAGCTCAACAAGACATAAACACAACAAAGATCAGAAAGTACAGCTGAGCCAGAAAAAACTGATGCCTGGAAGAATATCGAGTTTCTCTACTGAGTATTGAGGGGAATACTAGGTGTTACTTAAAAACATTTTTGCACAGAGCCTTAACAAGGACAAGAGAATCCTACCTGCATATTCCACATCCATTGCAGTGGTACTGTCTCTTAGACGTCTGCAAAGAAGGCAAATAGGATTAGCTTGCTACACAAGCTGGTTACTTGCAAGAAAGTATCATGAACTTCCAGGGCAAACTCACATAAAAATCCTGACATATAACGTAGAACAGAATTAAAGAAAGTCGGGCACTCACATCATCATCGAATAGCTTGCAAGTCCCACAGAAGTATTTCCCCATGCATACACCACAGTTAACACAAACTTGTCCAACCTGGTAATGAAAGCAATCAACATAAGATACTGCAGAAAATTGCAAGCAAGTCTTAGAAATAAAGATTTGTCTTAATTATAGAATCGAGAAAACATCTTAAGTTCAGCTAATGCATAATGTATCAACAATATCCACTATATCCTAATTATTAACGAATTAATTACTAGAATACTGACGTCAAACACAACCCTATCTCACAAGTTTAATGACTTAATACAAAATCCAAATAAATAAATAAATAAATCTGCCAATAAAACAAAACTCACCTCTTGCTCAGTGCCGCAAAGTGAACATATCACCTGAAGTAACATGCATGTATTTTGTCAGCTATGAAGCAGAACAATATATATTAACTTATTAAAATTCAAACAACGACAGGAGAAGATATACACCAACTCATACAATGATTACCTGTTTGACTTGATGACGTGGTATGTCATGCCTATGCTTCTGATCGACATTAATATCGTTCTGTACACCAATATGAAATTCAATATGAGTTGGCTCAACTCAAAAAAGAATTATCAACAAAAACATCAGAAAGGCAGAATTATTCCTACTGGAATATTCTCTGAAATTGTACATATTGAGTACTCACCTTTGCTTCATTATGACAATGGCGACAATCAAAAATCTCATTGCAGCAAGGAGCTCTAATGCGGCACCTTCGCCTGTAGTGTGGACATCTGCAGAAGAAGAAAAGGAAACCAATATCATAATGTTTATTGTGACAGGGGAGGGAAGGAAACCACCAGAGTAATGAATAAGAACATTACCCATACTCCATATGTCCTCTCTCCAACAATTCAGTGGCCTTTCCAGTATCCTTTGATTCTACTTTTGATTCTACAGTGAGCATGCACGATAGATTCAAATGGGCATCCTCCATTTTGTTCTGTCTAACCATTCTATGTTGCTTATCTCCAAATTGATATGATAATATTTAGAAGCTTGCAGAAGGCCTAAAGCACCTGCATGTACAAACATATTTAGCAACAATGGTTAATCCTCAGGGGCATATTAGTCACCCGATCAAGCCAGGCAAACACCCCATGACACTCTGCTTTCTTCTATAATGCTGCAGACATTTGAAATCAGCAACAACAAAAGCCAAGCAAGGTTGAACAGCTCCAATCAGCATTTCTCCGAGAGGAGGATTCATCAAAACAAGTAGATCTATAAGAATCCCAAACAATAACTACAATGCAGCGCTGGGGAACTCCAGAGCTTCCATCTGTTGAAAGTAAGCAATAACATTGCATCACTTGATTCCTTGAAGAAGTCCCAGAACCAAATCCAACTATACTGGGCACGACGAATTGACACCCCAACCTATGGTAAAAGCAATATATCACACAATCAAATGCGTTTTAAAATGTTTGTAACAAAATAGGGGAAAGAGTGTGAGAGATGGAGAAATGTGTTGTGTTGGTTGTCCATAGAGGACAGGCCTACCTTAAATGGAAATTATCCACCATGTCTGCTTCGAGTACTGAACTTACCCAATAGGCAAAATCTTAAAAATTCTATACCGTCAGACTTTGAGTGTCACTGCTTGAAACTTGTGGAGTTCTCTCATCATCTATGTAGTTGAGTTATGAACTACAAAAAGAATCACAACTTTCATCTCTTGATTTCCTTCAGAGAAAATTAACTCTCCTTCCAGGACCACGGCACCCATGCAAGGCTAAGTCCCAACCAGCTAAGTGGAGCACCATTCTTGTCTCTACTAACCTACTTACAACTTAATAACAGGTTTAGGGATGAAATGAACAACAATGTACTTGGAGTATGAGCATTGAAACTCATAACCAGGAGCAGACAAATGCTCCGATTAGCACAAGGGGGCAGATGAGACAACTCAGAAAATGATGTTTCCGCAATAAGAGTTTCAGTGCGGAATATTCACTATGGGGGTAATACACGGATATAGGCGCCAAAAAAGAGGAGCCACAAGATCTAACTAGAAATATACGCTGACATCTTCGGATGGAGATGTGAAGAACCATTTTTACCGGAAAGACATTCAAACCCCTCAATCAGAACCCCGATAAACCAGCATATACACTCTGGAGTTGGAAATTTCACCTCTGGTACAGATACAACAGCCCTGCAGAATACTGCCGAAACTCAATATTAACAATAAAAGAAAAACCCAAAGGAATAAGCCCCCCCGTATGCTGCCCTATCTTTCAATGCAACCCAATTAAAAACAAAGAAAATTATCTTATGTAATTTGTTAAAGCAGTCTCCTTAAATTTAACAAAGATCCACAAGGCTCAAGCTGCAACCAAGCTGTAGACTCAACACAAGCTGTAATGTTTTCCCGTCCTCAGTAACAGAAACTGAAAAAGTCGATAATTAATATCAGAAAATATGTCAGGTAATATTTTCTTTTATCATTTGCATTATGAAATCCATAACTGGCATCCTTAAATATTCCACTTGCACAGGTAGTTAACACCCCAAAACACTGAAGCCCTACACTTTAAAAGGCCCTAACGGTTTATCTATAACGAGCTACTATAGCTCAGTACCTGAAACCAAGGTCCAGAGGAAGGCCCAACAACATTGACCTTGGTGTTTCCTGGATGAACAAGGGCTGCTTCAGAAACAAGAGGCTGAGGTACACCAAACGGGATGCACCGGCCATAAAGAGGGGATGATGGCTGACAATACTCACAAACTTCACACGCCTATTTCAGAAGCTTATATAGAACAATCACAACAAAAGGACCAAATTGCCATTCATTTCACCCCACAAGCATGAACTCTATTTGCTATCCAATTACTATAAATCCTCGTCCAAATAAAAAAAGACCTACTATAACCCAGTCACATCACGTATCCATTTGGGTATGTTATTATTCAACAGTTGGCTTGAAATCAAGTGGCAAGTAATAGAGAGATTTCACCGCCCTAATTTTGTTTCTAGTTTCTCAACCAAAAAAAGTGCACCGTCAGTAAAGAGGAAACAAAAAACCTTGTTGAGTAGAATCACCTATGATACAAAACAAATGCATCATGTTCCACAGCTACCCATTTTCTATTTCCCTCCTCTCCCTCTGTAATACTCATGATGATCACATCCACAAATAAACGAAATGTAGAAATTACAAACAAAAAGTTAGACGTGGCTTCTTTCCAAGGGAAAACCAATGGTCTCACATAGCATTTCATCCTGGACATAAATTTCATGCACGGAAAAGATTATCTACGAGAAGAAATAACCAAGGCGGATCACATTTCTTTCAAAAATTAGCTAAACCAAACATATCGATTATCGTCATCATCAGCAGCAGCAGCAACAACCAAATTCGTCACAGTCAACCAGTCAAAAATCATCACAAAACCAACAACACAAATTCAAACAGCACAAAATGGAACATAAAACCATTCACCAAATCAAATCCACAGCAATCCACGCAATGCATGATGAACAATACAGCAACAGAAAAATGAAGCATAAACACAATTCATTGAAAATACGTTACTGCGAAATCAAAAGCTCAGCATTAACACCATAACATATCAAACACACCTAACGCTTAAGCACACAAACACACAGAATTAAAAAAAACTGCAGCACCAAATTACCTACGATTTGAACAATTAACGCAAACTTAAAGCCATTCAGATCAAAACAGACTACGAATTATATGAATTTCTTAAAGAATAACGAACTTTCAATCGGGAACGACAAGCGGTGCAGTGGCCGATCCGAATCCGATAACAAACGGCGGGATCCGATTGACAATCCAAAGCTCCGGCTCGCCTTTAGAAACTATGTGCGTGTGTGTACGTGAGAGAGAGAGAGAGAGAGATACCGATATACAGAGTGACAGAGACGAATATGAGAGAGAAAGCGATACGGATGATAGAGAGAATTCGAACGGAAGCCGAATTTATAGCCTCCCTGAAGATAGGATCGTTTCCAGAGCCTTCGAAAACGAAAGCGTCAGGGCCACCGGTTTCTTTCTGTTGCTTCTCAATTGACAGCTTGTGCAGTAAATTGCCTGAAAATATCTCCGTTTTTTCTCAATTAAGATAATGAGATTTTATCCGGAGCACTCGCGCCCACTCTATAACTGTGTGCGTTAGCGTAAATCTTACGGTGTGGATACTGTGTTATTAAATCCGACGGACCCAAAGAGAGAGTATGTTATTTAACGTGCACACGCGTGTATTAGAAAGCTTCGCTTTAAATGTCGGTGACGTTGAACACTATTATGTTTCTTTCTTCCCGTGGGGAGAACTTGACCATTCAACGGTCAAGATCGAAGCGTACACGTCAGGTTGATGTGATTGCAGTTGGAATTTAGATTGAGCTATAGCGCAACGACGACACGTGTTACTTTTTTTTGGGGTCAAGGACGACACGTGTTACTTAAATGGGCAAAAAGTTCTGATTGCATGCCACGTGTTAAGGCTGACGTGGATGGATGTAATGATATTTGAAAAAAATATTAATTAATTTAAGAAAAATCTCCAAATTGATGTCTATCCAATAAAATGAATATTATATGGCATTGATTTGTGATAACTCCAGTAGATATCATGACATGTTGGTGAGAGAAGTGATCATATGATTTGGAACATTTTATGATAATGTTATAATATTAGTTTCTCATAGGAATGCCAAGTTTCTTGGAAATCATTCTAAGCTCACCTTCATTTGCTCAACTGGATCCAAACGTGAATCAGTTTGATGAAGTTCAATTATATATTTTGTTGTGAAATCAAATGCACGATTACATGACCTAATATTATTATTTTTTTTTAAACGATAAGATTTGAATTCAAAGACTTTTAATTTTCTCAATCGATCTCAATGCCTTGTGAATGTGAAATACTTTAAACTCATTATACATTGCGTCTATTTTTTTGTTCAAGAAGAGGTCTATTTTATGGGTTTGTCATGGTATTGTGTCTATATTATAATATGAAATGATCTCCGTAGTATGATTTGTAACTCAATTGGAAACCCAATATTCTTCTAAATTTTCAATATAACTAAATTCAAAATGAAAAATAAGTCCTATTAACTTTGTGATAGGTTACTGTTAAAGATATGTTTCAATCCAATTCAATTGGAGATATGTGAAAATTGAAGTCAGAAAAGTAAACGTTAGGAAATGATAGTTACACTAAAAAAATTGTTTGCAAGTAGAGTTATTTACACTAGCACCCCCTAAGGTTTTTGGCTTTTTTACAAAACTTATTGAGGTTTTAGAAATTACACAAACACCTTCTGAGATTTTAAATTATTTTCACAAAACTCATTTTCATTCATTTTTCATCCAAAGATTGATGATTTTATACAAAAAAAATCTCCAAATGACGAAGTAGGCCTTTGAGATTAGATTGCATATACTTCATTAAGGTTAATTTTGTCATTTGCATAAGTTATTTTTCAATGAAATCGTCAATTTTTGAACAAATAATCAACGAAAAAGGATTTTATGAAAATAAATTGAAACCTCAGGGGGGTGTTAATGTAAATAACTTTGCGAGTATGGATAACTAACTTTAACTCAGTTGATTACGTGTGTGTGAATGATTATCAGCCGTATGTAGTTCAAATACGCGTAGTCAAATTCTTAATTATGTCTCACTAAGGGTCTTTTACTATCCCTCTTAAAATTCTCTTATATCTGCAACTAACACTAACTTTAACTCAGTCAATTACGTGCGTGTGGACGATTATTAGCCGTATGTAGGTCTAATACGCGTAGTCAAATTCATAATTATGTCTCACTAAGGGATCTTTTACTATCTCTCTTAAAATTCTCTTATATCTGCAACCAACGCCCTCAGGCCCCTAAATTGGTGTGAAAAACTTGATCAAGTCCAAGATGAGAGAGTGAGAATCGGGAACCGTCCCAGAAAAACGGTGTTTCCCTTTGACTGGTTCCGTTTTATAAAGATGTAATAAGAATCATGCATTCATCGGTTCCAGCAAAATCTCAACGTCCCTACCTGCCACTCGTCTGACATACTTGTCTTGCACAGTGAACAAAATTTCTATGCACAAAAAAAGTTTTACAAAAACTCAGTGGCTCTGAGCTTTTACTGTGGATTTTGATAATTTTCCCATCCCCAAAATCCTCTTTTTTTCTCTCTTTAAATTTTGAGCAAACCAAAACCAAGAAATTGAAACCCCATAGATGTGATCTCTTGTATGTGATGAAGAGAGAAATTCAACACATTTTTCTACCCTCTACTTTCTTGATACTGATCTTTTGCCTTGGCTCCACTGCCCAAAACCCTAATGCAGGCGTGAGAGAGTTAAAACTTTCTCATATTAATCAGAGGCAGCTCTTGTTCTACACTGACCAAGATGGGTCAAGAGGGGAGCTTGTGGTAGTCCCATCCTCCCTTGTTTTTCACAACTCAAGACTCAGGAGTGCCTACGTTGCCCTCCAGGCATGGAAACAAGCCATGCTCTCAGACCCTCTGGGCCAAACATCCAACTGGGTTGGATCCAATGTCTGCAGCTACACTGGAGTCTTCTGCTCCCGAGCCCTAGATGACCCGTCAGTCGAAACTGTGGCAGGCATTGATCTGAACCACGGCGGCATTGCAGGGTACCTCCCTGAAGAGCTGGGTCTGCTCTCAGATATTGCATTGTTCCACATCAACTCCAATCGGTTTTGCGGCAGTGTCCCGAAGAGTTTCAGCAAACTGAGGCTGCTTTTTGAGCTTGATCTGAGCAACAACCGCTTTGCTGGGAAGTTCCCTCTTGTTGTTCTTCAACTGCCAAAGCTAAAATTCCTGGACCTGCGATTCAATGAGTTTGAAGGTAAGGTCCCCAAGGAACTGTTTGATAAAGATCTTGATGCAATCTTCATCAACCACAACAGGTTCTCCTTCGAATTGCCGGATAATTTCGGGAACTCGCCGGTCTCAGTTATTGTTCTTGCAAACAACAATTTCCATGGGTGTGTGCCAGCCAGCCTTGGCAACATGTCCAAGAATTTGAACGAAGTGGTGCTCACAAACAACGGCTTCCACTCATGCTTGCCAAAGGAAATAGGGATGCTGAAGGATGTGACTCTGTTTGATGTGAGCTATAATCGGATCGTCGGCGAGTTGCCGGAGGCAGTGGGTGAAATGGTGAGCTTGGAGGCGCTCAATGTGGCTCATAACATGCTAAGAGGGAACATACCTGAGAGCATTTGTGAGCTTCAGAACCTGAGGAACTTTAGCTTTGAGCACAACTTCTTCACTAGTGAGCCACCAATGTGTTTGAAATTGGAGAAGTTTGATGACAGCAAGAATTGCTTGCGGCGTAGGCCAAAGCAGAGAACCATGTTGCACTGTAAATTGGCCTTGTCTAAGGGTGTTAGTTGCAGTTCTTTTGGATGCCGTCCTTTTGTTCCTCCCTCCCCACCATTACCACCTTCACCACCACCATCTCGATCACCACCACCTCCATCGCCATCACCGCCACCATCACCACCACCTCCTCCTCCTCCTCCTCCACCACCACCGCCGCCGCCATCCCCACAGCCTTGCCTTCCCTCCCCGCCACCTCCTTCACCACATTCCCCACCACCATCTAAACCCTCTGATCCTCCACCATCTCCTCATCACAATTCACCACCACCTACCCTACATTCTCCCCCACCTCCACCCTCTAATTCTCATCCGTCGCCGCCTCCACCGCCCATTTATTCTCCTCCACCTGCTTCACCTTCTCCACCTCCATCTCCACCACCATGTATACGACCTTCTCCACCCCCACCTTCACCACCAGCTCCAGTGTATGATGGCCCGTTGCCGCCAACTATCGGTGTCTCCTACGCCTCACCGCCACCGCCACTATTTTATTAGTGATTCTTTCCATTTCTTCTCCACCTTCCCAGACAGCTTAGAGACTGATACACTAGAGTGACTAAAGTCCCATGACTTGGAAACAAATTTCCACATTAAAAATAATTGCCATGAATTCATCATCTCTACCACTGCAACCAGAGACGCAGGCAATACAGAACAAGGTCATCAAATCATGTTACAAGGTGAAGGTGAACACAAGAGGAACGAGACAGTGCATAGTGAAGGTTTTTTCTTAATTTTTTTTCAACAACAAAAAAAAAACTCTATTTATTTACATTGTTATGGACTTGTCTTTAAAAGTAGATAATAAGTTGGAAGATAAAGTACTAGGCTACTTGGAATGTAATTACAAAGCTCTCTAGATTCTCACATTTCTGTTATATTAAGAGCTTTCCCTTTGCTTATTTTCAGAGCTAAATGGTAAATTAAAGCACACACTTCTACTCAAATTGAATACAATATGCAATGCCGGATTTCTTCCGGTCCCAATTGAAATCTCTTTCAACTAAAGATTCTTAGAACCCTTGCAGCTAAGTTCCATCAGGTGACTAAAATGGCCTCAAGCACATTGGATTCTCCAGTCATATTACTGGTTTAAACTGGTAAAAGGGCAATAGGTAAAATTCTATGTGTTGCCTTGAAACTTAAATGGTCGACCGACCACCAAACAAAGCAGTCAGGAGCGACTGAATTCCTCCCCCAGTTTTTGTCACATCCTCATCTTTAAAGCAGCTCTCTTTCTGCTGATTTGTCCCATCTGCTTGCTGTGAGAACAGACAATTAATGGAAAACCTAACAAACTGATATCTAGTCCAGCAGAAAAACAAAACAAAGAAAAAAAAGAGGAAAAGAAAGCAAGGATGAGAAATGAAACGTAAATCCTAGTTTCCTACGAAAATATGAACTTAAACATTAGCCTTCTTTCTCTACCTCTTGAAGCATTACAAGTTAAAGAATTATTTCAGAGTTTTTAATGTAAAACAGTTATAGAACTACCTGAGTATTAATACTTAAAAAGATGAATGTGTAAAGAGAATCAAGGATTTTCTAGTTACTGATATTCAAGTAGGAAAACTTTTTCTTACCTTCGACACGGTCGTCAAATTTTTCAAAACTACACATCACACCCTTACAC